AATTTTAATAAGATAAGCACCATTTCAATAAAAAGATATGGAAAAGATGTCAAAGGCAACCTTGGTTTATGTAAGCTGGATTTGTTTTAGTAAAGATAAACTTTTCTCCCTGTCATTAAGTCTAGTTGTGTCCAGCCCTAGGGGTGGTGCTCTTCTCCATTTCTAAGCCGAAGAACTGGCGTTGTCCATAGATGCCTCCTAGGTGATGTGGCCAGCATGACTGCATGGAGTGCCGTTAGCTTCCCACAGAAGTGGGAAGCTAACGGCACTCACATTTGCATGTTTTCGAACTGCTAGGTTGGCAGAAGCTGGGGCTAACAGCCCACTCCCTGGATTTGAAGCACAAATTGGATTTATTTCAGGGCTCTTTAATTTACAGTATTTTATCCAACTTTTGCTCATCCAGTATTCTGTATTATCCAACACAGCCTGTCTCCCACTCGGATCCACAGCTGTTTCAATATATTGCGATGTTTTGGTGATAAATTCACCAAACTACATAACATTGCTATTTATTGAACTGCCTTTTCTGTTGATTTGTTGTAAAACATGATGTTTTGATGCTTACTTTGTAAAAGCATACCATAATTTGACATTTAATAGGCTTCTCCTTAATCCCTCCTTATTATCCAACATTTTTGCTTATCCAATGTTCTGCCGGCACATTTATGTTGGATAAGTGAGACTCTACTGTATTCTTTATCCTTTTTACATATGTATATGTGTGCATATACTTGAATATATGGAACTTTAATGATGATGAAATTCACAAAATATGCCAGTATATCTTTAATCAATATTATCAGTTCCAAAGTAAAGTTTTAATATAACAAGAGTTTAATTTGTTTTTGTAGTTTGAAAATGCCATGCAATGTTATGTGAGTGAGAAATGTGTAGTCTCTCCATTCACATTTGAGTGTATTGCAAATGTAAACTAATGTAATGTAATTTTAAGGAATATTGTGATTATGCAGTATGTTCAGTTTTATGTATGTTTAGTATTTTTTGCTTTAAAGAAAAAAAAAAGATGGCTTTGAGCAGAGGTATCACCATCCCTGACACCTGTAAACATTCCGTGGTCAGAACACCACTACATATCCTTCAAATGATATGGACCAATGAAGCTGGAAGGTATCTGCACTCAACCAGACAGCCTGGTATCTCAGCAATCCACCCCAACACACATCCCATCACCTCTCAGGTGATCTGCAGTATTCAGGCGAAAGCAGGGACTCTGTCTGCTTGTGTCAAGTCAAAATAGTGGGAGTGTTTTATCCCTTAGATAACTGACAAACATTTTACTGCTGGGGCCCTTAAACACACTTTACACTGCACACTGAGATGAACAAAAATGTGCAGCTGAGAATTGTATAAACCCTGTGTAGATACAAAGAAAGATGAGAAACTCTTCAAATATCAAAATGAATCCTTAACATAATACCCATGCGGAGTATTTGAGCAAAAAAAAAAAAAAAAAAAAAAACCACAAAACTTTACTATTCGAAACAAGTATGGGTCTCATATAAGTCTTCCTAAAAATATCATATTAATGTTACAATAAAAAGGGGGAAAGTGTGTAGATCTTCAAATAGCAAGTGTGCAACATTCTACAGAAAGTAATAAAAATATATTTGAAGAGATAACATTGTATATGTATTTTTAAATTACTTCCAAATTTAAGATGTGCATGATGCATTTTGTCCACCCAATATTAACCTTGCTCTTTCTTTAGTACTATGGTTCATTTAGTCACTTACAGGAAATTGGACAGGAAATTGAACACAAAAAGTTGTGATGCCATCCATTTTTGTCTATGACATCATACGTATTTATTTGACACGATAATCAATGACATCACAACTTTTTGTGTACAATACTTGCATTATCTCAGGAGCTGTAAGTATCTAACATTCATAAGCATATAATTTAATTTCACAGCAAAATGCAAATTCAGACACCAGATGTTAAAAAAGTGTGCTGAAAATTTACAAAACTAGCAAAACCTTAAATTAGGAATAATGTGAGACTCAATCATTTCTTTTAAGTTCTTGCTGTTAAGTCTAACATGACACAATGTGCTGAGGTATCATGGAAATGAACTATTATATAGCAAAGAATCATGGTGACTTCCACAGCAAAAAGATATGAAGCTGGCACGATACCATCTCCCTATAGAGAAGGCCCAGGGAGCTCATAATGGGATTTAAAACTAATGCTACTAAGCCATGGCTGTTTGCCCATCCAATTTTCTTCCCATATTGTATTTTAAGAGGCACCTACTAAATTATCCAGTGCATTCCCCTTTCTCTTGTCACTAGTCTGGTTGCTATTCACAGCATTATGAAAGTGGCTCTGTAGGCGGGCAGTTTTGCACCATCTAGTAATACGGAATGTGAAGAACCCCAGAATATTGAATTGCCAAAGGCTTTCATGGCCAGAATCACTGGGTTGCTGTAAGTTTTTCAGGCTGTATGGCCATGTTTCAGAAGCATTCTTTCCTGATATTTCTCCTCAATCTATGGCAGGCATCCTCAGAGGTTGTGAGGCCTGCTGGAAACTGGAAAATGGGGTTTATATATCTGTGGAATGTCCAGAGAGATATAAACTTCTGGAAAATGGCCATACAGCCCGAAAAACTTACAGCAACCCAACTCCAGAACATGTTCCATTCTTAAACTTTCTTTGGGCACTGCTTTGGTTTGCACTCTGGGAGAAAGGTGGAGTCCAAATGAAACAACCACACAAGTTTCAACCCAGTTTTTTTCTCTTTTTAAGCTTGTCATCTTCATCAGAACAATATTCTCTTCCCATGCTTAGTTCTACCCCTTGCCCACAAATCAAACATATGAAAAATGATCTCATCCCCCAAACTCTTAAAAGCATCAACACTGAGTGGAAACAACAAAATGTCTTTAAGAAAGGAAATGAGGAGACCATTATTCAAACTCTGGCAGGTCTGATCAGTGAAAGCACTAACTGTTCACATTCTCAAACAGACTGCTATATGCCAAAATTGTTGGAATTCAACCCCACACTACCCAAGTTTCAAGTCCTCAATGAGAAGCAGTTAGTTTAGTATAGACTAAGGCTTTCCCTTCCCCCATGTCTCCTGTATTAAAACCCTTAGTCTATACTAAACTAACTAACTGCTCCTCGTTGAGGACTTTAAACCCTTGTGTCCGCAGGTCAGAGGTTAAAATCCCTGGAGAGCACAGACTAGCTCCCTCTGTCAGCTCTGGCTCCCCATGCAGGGACATGAGAGAAGCCTCTCACAAGGATGGTAAAACATCAAAACATCTGGGCAACCCCTGGACAAAGTCCTTGCAGACGGCCAATTCTCTCACACCAGAAGTGACTTGCAGTTTCTCAAGACACTCCTGACATGAAAAAAGTCTCCTGTATGACAGCTGGAATATATCTAATTTCTTCTCTCCTCTCTGTTTCTGTTCTCATTCTCATTGGTTGTTTAAAATGAATATTTCTACTGCACGCCTTTTTGAATCTGGCTTCTGCCTTCTTACACTTCTATATGGATTGTATGTGCTATGTGCTTTGAGATCTTTCTCATCCCCTTCAGAGGGATCAGTCCCTGCCTGGACTCTTTCTGGCAACTTTGGCACCTGGTATTAGACACCTATCTTTTAGTTCAGACATGCAAAAATAATAGTTCCAGATCCTGAGCATTTGAGAGAATAATTTCCTATTCCAATTGACACTTGATTCAGATTCATGCAATTCTGAAAAACAATCCTTATTGGCAAAGAAATGTTCATTTACTCCAGTATCTAAGAAAAAAAAAAATCTTCTGTTGTTATAGGATAAGTTGCATATGTAAAGAAAATCTCTCTAATCCCTCTTTTGCACTTTCAAATTCATGTTACTTAGGTTGTAAACTTTGCAAACTTTGTGGATTAGAGTCTCTACAATTCCATTGGGCCAAATGGGGCATCTTCCCCTTTGCAAATTGTCTTGGCCTCTGATTTAGATGGCCTGGTTTAGAAAATTTGCGGTTACTGATGATAAGACCTAAGCCGACCCACAGGAGCATAAAGAGTCTGCAGAGATGAAGGTGTCTGCAAACTTTCTCTGTTATCCATACTCTTCAGAATGACCATCCAAACTCTAAAAAAGGAGCAGTGCCACACTCTAGTCTAGCTCCTTCTGAAGGCTTATATACCTGTAGCAGGGATGTTCTATTTCCCCAAAGATAATTGTACTATTTAGGTATCTCTCTGTCTCCTTTATATTGTCAAAGGCTTTCATAGACAGAACTACTGGGTTGTTGTGAGTTTTCCAGGCTCTATAGCCATGTTCCAAAAGCATTCTCTCCTGACATTTTCCAACAGAGGATACCTGCCATAGATACAGGCAAAATGTCAGGAGAGAATGCTTCTGGAACATGGTCATATAGCCTGGTAGACTCACAACAATCCTGTCTCCTTTTTTTTCAAAGTCTGTTCTGCTAGTCCCTCTCAGCCCCCCCCCCCCCTGTTCTGTTGGCAGCACTGTACAGTTGGAGCCAAGTTTGGCACCTGGCATTACATTCCTAGCTGCAGCTCTGCAGAGTGGCCCCATTTGCCTGGACTCTGGGAGAAAAGTTTGGTACCACCTAGCACCAGATGTCAGCCTGCAGCTCATCCTCTGCAAAGTGACCACTTTCGGTCTGTGTGCTTTTAGACAACCATGACATTGGCATCAGATACCTGCCTGCAGCTCATCCTCTGCAAAGTGACCACTTTCTCTCTGTGTGCTTTTAGACAACTATGATACTTGGCATCAGATGCCTGCTTGCAGCTCATCCCCTTCAGAGTGATCAGCCCCTGCCTGGACTCTTTCTGGCAACTTTGGCACCTGGTATTAGACGCCTACTTGCACCTCGTCCTCTGCCATGTGACCAGTCCTTGCCTGGACTCTTTGAGAGAAGTTGGGCGCCTCTTGGGCTGGGTGCGTGTGCCTTTGCCCCCCTTTGAGCCCCTTCTCCCCTTGGCCCCGTGGCTTACCTGCTGGCCAGGCTCTGCCGGCAGTGCTGCCTGAAGGGCATGAGGTGGTAGTTCATGGCGTCGAGGAGCAGCTTCTGGCAGACGGGGTCGGTGCGCATGAAGTCCACGGACTGGACGCGCTCCACCAGCTCCGGGGCCGGGATGAGGGCGAAGCGGAGGCGCTTCATGAGGTCGGGCGCGTACTGCATGCGGGTCTCGCGGTCGTGCTCGAGCCAGAGAACCGACATCTGGAAGAGCGCCAGCTCGGACTCCACCGGCGGCGGGAGCGAGTCGAGCAGGGCGCGCATCTCCTCGAAGTTGAGCAGCAGCACGTCCTCCACCAGGTACTTGTTGGCTAGCTTCTTGGTCTCCTCCAGGCCGTGGAGGGCGGCGATCTTGCAGACCTGCTTGTAGTTCTGCACCGAGATCTGGTCGTTGAGGAACTGGACGCAGAGCTTGGTCACCTGCGGCACGTGCAGGATCTTGCTGACCGAGAGCACCTCCTCGGCGGTGTCCAGCGAGAGGGTGACGTTGGCCGTGTAGAGGTACTCCAGCACCAGCCGCAGCCCGATGGAGGAGCAGCCCTGCAGCACCAGGTTGTTGATGGCCCGCGGGCTGGACAGCAGCTTGTCCTCCGGGGAGGAGGAGGGCGTGCCGGGCTCTTCCGGCGGAGGAGGCGGCGGAGGAGGCTTCGACTGCGGCGGAGGCGGCGGCGGCTCTTTGGCGGGCAGGCCGTCCTGGCTGCCGGGCCCCACGCCCAGCGGGTGGTGGTGGGGGTGGAGGTGGGAGCCCCCTCCGCCGCCCCCGCCGGCCGAGCTGGA